ATACCAACGTTGTATTGTAATAACTAAATGTTAACTATCTAATTTCTTATTAATAATAACTCTAATATTATTCCAGAGCTTGTTTTCTAGTACTTCAAAACATCTATTAACATAGATGCATTTTCCAATGCATTTAACATACATTTTATTATCGATAAAGAGTTGGGTTTATTTTAAGGCATTCTTGTTTATTGTCATTGCAAAATCCAAGCGAACTGGAAACTGAAGCTTTTTAAATTGGAAAGGCATATCAGAAGGAATTAAAGGCGTCACGTGACTTGTGGTTCCGAAGATATGGCTGAAGAAAACGTCCACGCCCCCTTTTACAAACTCATGTATATATACCTTACTATAAGCACCTACCATAGATATGTTTGCGTACCGAATTTCATGTTCATGTGACTTATGAGATGAGCCACGCCCTCTTCTATAAACTCATTTATTTTTATCTTACTATAAGAAGCTACCATAGATATGCCTACATACTAAATTTCAAGTTCATGTCACTTATGGTTACGAAGTTATGGCTGATTAAACTTCAAAGCCTACTGAATGTGGCACGCTCCCTTTTATAAACTCATGGATATGACCTCATATCAAATTTCAAATTCATGCGACGTATGGTTCCGAAGTTATAGCTGAAACAAAATTCCATGCCTATGTTATATGCCACGCCCCTTTTTAGAAACTAATTTATATATACCTTACCATAAACGTCTCCCATAGACATATCTTCGTACCAAATTTGAAGTTTTTTTGACTTATGGTTCAGAAGTTACAGCTTATTAAACATTTGCAGGCCTATTGGAGGTGCTACGCCCCCTTGCGAAATTTACGACATATTTGCAAATAAACCCATACCTATAACCTTCCTGGGGTAAAAACAAATAAGTCTGCAAAGTTTCGTGCGATTCCGTGTCGTGGTTCAAAAGTTATAAGGTAATAACCAAACAGACATTCACATTTATATATACAGATATATGTGATTATAATTTTTGTGCTACATAGTTAGTACACTATATTGGGTCTATATTTTTGCTCGGATTTATTTGATGTACGGTATATGAAGAGGGGAGGTTTTCATATACCGTTTTGGGGAAATCAGCTAAACTCTTTATATGAATAAGTAAATTATGCACTTACTTTGGCATTCCTCTGCATGCCGAGGGACGACCGCTGTTAAGAAAAAACCTTTTTTCTATATTTTTTTTGCGATGTTGCTTTGACCAGGGCTTGAACCCAGGCGTTGCGGAGTGAAGGCGCGCACTGCTTGCCACTACACCACAGCGGCAGACAACTTCCTATTTGGATTAATAAAATTTGCCTTTGATTTAATTTAATTTGCATTTAGATTAAATTAATTTGCGTCTGTGTTAAATTAATTTGCGTTTGGCTTAATTTAATTTGCGTTTGGCATAAATTGATTTGCGGTTAGGTTAATTTTATTTGCGTTTGGTTTAAATAAATGTGTGAATGCTACACATATATGTGTATACATAGACTCAAAAAGGGGTTACTCATTCGCTCAGTCCGACAACTAAAGTACAACTGTGCACATACAGATGAAGGGTGATCGAGGGATGTTTAACCATCGGATGGGTCTGGTCGTTTACAGAAAGTTTTCAAGTATTAATAATAATAGGCTGGCTTCTCCTAGGATTTGTGATGTGCGCCTTAACGTCGTCACGCAATGGGGATAGACCTACAGTTTTAAAAAATTGGATTTGCTCACACAAACTCCTTCCTTCCATCCAATCCTTATCCATTCGTCCTGAAATATACTGGCCAGAAATGCGATGCTTTATAAAAAAGAGAACCACTTTAAAATATGAGTGTTTTTACTCTCTTGAAAATAATTTATGCAACCTCACATACGCGGTTTCGCATTCTTTCGATACGAGGTTTTGCATTTTGTTGAAGCACGGTTTTGTACTTTTAACGACGATAAGAAGCTGTTTTTCATGGCAGAAATAAACTCGGGGGTTTTCCTTTTCGACGGCGCACCTTAGCGTGTAACTAAGAGTTTTAAGTTTTATATCGTCTGAGAGATAAAAATTCTCGAGGGAACACACCCTAGACACGGTTGTGTCTTTAGCGAAGATATGTCTTACCATTCCCGCCTCTTCATCAAGCTCAGAAAGGCGCTTATCTGACTTTAAATGTATAATTCACCATTTCTCCTTGAACCAAAAGATGTGGATGTGTTCAAACTCCTCCAAAATTTACGTATAGTCATAATTAGTCACAGCTTACAGGGTCAGGAATACAGCTCTCGCAAAGCATCTGAAAATAACTTCTATCTGCAGATGAGTATCTACTTGTAATATACGGCTTTACCCGAATTTCAATTATATACATACTTGTTATTCTCTTTCACCTTCACCATTGTATTTCCAAATTCCAAAGATATTATAAATGCAGTTCCAAATAATACCTGTGCAGTCGTAAAATTATTGCTACTACCTTTAGATGCGGATATATAATACAATTTTTCACCATATGGTATGGAAAATTTTCCTATGTACGTTCGTTTGCGGTATATACTCGTAAATGCGCTTAAGTCTTACATATCTACATTGTTCGGGTGTCCGGTAACTTGGGTAATTACCAGGGAACGGATTTTTAGGACCTAAAAACTTATACAAAAGGCAAAATAAAGTAACGAAATAGGCTGGAAAAGGCAAAATAAAATAGCGGTAAAGGCAGGAAAAGGCACTAGGTATTGTAAAAAAGGCAAAAAAAGGCAAAATAAAATAGCGAAAAAGGCAGGAAAAGGCAAAAAAAAAGGTATTGCAAAAAAGCAAAATAAGGCGCTAAAAAAGACAGAAAATACGAAGAACAATCAAAAAATATATTTTTTTAGAAATGTTTATATTACAAGTAAAAAGAGAAAAACTATGAACTAGTTTCATTATATGAAAAATTTGTACTTTGAATCTTTGACTATTTTATCCTTTCGAGTTTCTAACTCATAAAACTTTAATCTGTATAGTTGTAGTAACATTGAACCACAAGATGCATTTTGAAGTTTTCTGGCAGCATTTTCATTCGATTTTCGCGAAGAAAAGCCTTGAATGTACTAAATGTGCGCTCGACGTAAGTTGATACAAGTGGAGCCCAATTTAAATATGGAACGTTTGAAACGTTCATATTATCAGGAATAAGGGCGTTTTCCTCGCCCTTTACAATTTTATCCACACCCCTTATTGTCTTCAAGCCTACGTTAGCTGAGAAAACGGCTTTGAATTTTTTCAACACCAATTTGGCAAGAGGTCCCTGCGCTTCTATAAGCCGCATGGGCATGTGTATATTTTTTAATCTAAAAAAAAAAAAAAATTGTAAATGCTATAATCACTTTTCTAAAGGTAGAAAAGGCAAAAAAAGGCAAATATATTAAAAAAAGGCAAAAAAAAGGCAAATATCTTAAAAAAGGCAAAAAAAGGCAACATCAAATGTGTATATATGGAATCAGGGAAAGCTAAATCGTGGACATTCTTAATCGAATATACTCTATCTCTTTAGCAGAAAAAAAGGCAATTTCCATAAAATCCGTTCCCTGGTAATTACTATACTGTCCTGGTAGCTGATTACCTGAGTCAAATCTTCAGCCCTAATTCTAAGACCAGCTTACTATTTCCATAACTTATTTGTTTATTTTATTTCATACAAAGAATGGCTTTGGGAATGAATCATTGGCGAATATTCTCTACTGTTTTCTCTCTAACGAAAAATATTACTTAAAAGAGAAAAACTAGGAAATCGTTTCAAAAAGACATTATAAAATATTCTATTAAGCGGATTATCATTAGAAATCGTTTACTTTTTTCTCTGCTTGCAGGTGTCAGCCAGTGACCCAGATTGTGGCGTTAATGCGATAGTCAATTATACACTGGGCAATGGCATCAAACAGCTTGCTGATTTTGAGGTACGTTCTGCTGCGGGTGAGATTTGCATTACCAGCGAGTTAGACTATGAGAAAAGAAGCTCATATGAATTTCCAGTTATTGCAATAGATAGAGGTGAGTACTGTATATACCTGTATACACAAAATAATATGTTAAACTTCAAATAGTTAAATGAAAAGCCAATAATAGATCTTTGAGGTTTTTTCCTACAATTGTATTCATAAACTCTATCAAAGGAATATAAAAAATTTTACAGATACACTGAAAATAAAACCTGCGTAAATATAACGAAAACTTAAATCTTGCGAAATTTTTCGTCATTTTGAGCCACGAAAGTTTTCGTTGATTGTACAAAACCGTTTTCGTACATACTACGAAAATATGAGGCATCGGATTTTTAGTACATTTTACGAAAGTATTCGTACTATTTACTAACGAATTTCGTACTATTTACTAAAAAAAATCGTACTATTTTTTTTATTTTTTTACGAAATTTTTGTAAAATGCACAGAAATAATTCGTATATTTAACGAAATTACTTTCGAAAAATCTGCGCTTGTTTCGTAGAATGTGCGATTTTGCTTTCATTCTCCACACTGTAAAAAACATATTACGAATTATAACACACCACTTTTATTTTGTTTTTATCGTTAATTTTAGGCGTTTTTGTTTAACAAAACATTTTGCAAAAACGCTTAACATTAATGAAAGTGTTGTGCTATATTTTTAGTCATGTTTTTTTATAGTGTTAATAATAAAAGGAATCTACGTTCTACGAAATAAGAAGAATTTTCTGACTACACAGTAGAATTAATAAAAAAGGTTATATTACCTATAATAAAACTTAAGTCTTTTATTTATATGCATACGAATAGGTTCTATACTACATATTTTTTATTGCTTAGGCTTCATTCAATAAAGTATATTGATGCAAAGTGTTAAACTATGAGACTCAACAAAACTAACTATAAAAAGTAAGAAAGTCTAAGTTCGGGCGGAGCCGAACATTAAATACCCGGCGCAAGTATTAAATATATATTTTTTTCACCTTTCCGAAACCTACCGCTAGATGGTAAGCCGGGGTGTATCAATTTTGAGTAAATTAGCGTCTTTAAATTTCGAAATATTACAGTTTCAAGCATTTCTGAAATTTACCGTTATATGAAAAGCGGCCGTAATTTTAGTCCGATTTCAATAATTTTCAACGTTTTTCTTTTTTGTGGCAAGCACAATAAAAATACCGAGTTTGGTACAAAATGGTAGAACGGTTACCGATATACATATATGTGATCATAAGTGAGCGGTACCACGCCCATTTTCCTAAATTTTACCATAAACGTATTTCCTGGTAAAGAATTGTTGCAAGCATCAATTTTGAATAAATAAGCTTTAATATTTACTGATTTATTGAAGATTTTGTATTTCTCTAAATAACCGTTATATGGGATGTGCGCGTGGTTATTGTCCGATTTTTAAAATTTTCGGCCATTTAGTATGCTGTATCAAGGCCAACAACTGTGCCAAGTTTGGAAGAAATCGGTGCAGCGGTTACCAAGATATACACATGTAACCATAAGTGGGCGAGGCTACACCCATTTTCCAAAAATTAATAATATTCTTATTTTTCGTCTGAAAATTACTGTAAATATTAATTTTTAGTGAATTATCTTTAGTAGTTACTAAAATATCGCAGTTTTCGTATTTTTGGAAATTACCGTTATATGGGAAGTGGGCGTGGTTACAGTCCGATTTCGCCCATACCAACCTACCTTGGATTAACGGAAACCTACATACCAAATTTCGTTGAGATATCTCAATTTTTGATCGAGTTATCGCGTACACGGACGGACGGACAGACGGACAGCCAGACAGACATGGCTTAATCGATTTCTCTATTCATTCTGAGCATTTATGTATACATTTGTCTATATCTATCTCGATTCGTTTTGGCTGTTACAAACAACCGTTATGTGAACAAAATTAATATACCTTTGTACACAAGTGCGCTCGGGTATAATAAGATATAAAATATGAAAGAATATAAAAAATACTGGTTTTACTTTCTTAAACATTATAATATTTTTATGTAGAGGCACTTGACAGATTCGCAGCTTCATCGATGTTTGTTTCCTTGACGACTATAAATTAAAGGAAAATTATAAGGCGTCTGAAACGCAAGTTTCAGTGAAGTCATACATGTACTTACTTTTAATTACATTACGTAGTGCTCCTGGCTTAGGCTTGCCGTTGATTGCAGCGCAAGGCGCAGCGTAGGCGATGTTAAAAACATTGTATGCTTAAAAGCATAGTATATCCACAGCTTTAATATTTAATTTTATATTGTTTTTTATCCAGCAAATCCCTTTTTAAAACGTTTAACAACAAGTAATTCCGCAATGACACGCGATACATAAAAATATGATGAAATATTAAACTGCCGGCAATTGAGTATATTGTACGAAAATTTTCGTTGTACGAATTAAAAAAACATTTTTCTGCATTAGTACTTTATACGAAAGTATTAACTAAATTGTACGAATACGGAATTGTAGATTTCGTAAATTTAAAACCCTACGTAAATATTACGAATGCCTTCGTACAATATACAAAATTATTCGTACAGAGATTTGTTCAGTGCTTTACGAATGTGTTTCGTAAAATAAACGTAAGATTTCGTAAACTGTACTGAAAAAATGCCTTATGAAAGTCCTTTCGTTATATTTACGTATGGTTCGTAAAATCTTGTTTCGTTGTGAAAAATATGTTCGTATTATGAACGAAAGTTTTATACATTGTACAAAAACCAACACTACGAAAGGTTTTCGTAGCACTTTTAGGAAATTTTATTTTCAGTGTATGCCCACCCTGGTGCGAAATAAAGCCAATTGACATTATTACCTTTTCAAAAGTGAAATAAAGTCAACAAAAATTTGGAAATAAAGTCATTGACGCTATTTCCTCATTCAAATGGAAATCGCGTCAACAATGCTTAAAGTATGTCGGTTCATAGAAAAAAATTTTGTTCTTGCAATAAACATTGCCCCGTAAGTGTTGTTTTTTAATAGATGAAAAAGGTTATTGCCAAATCCTCAGTGTTGTGATATTAATCCACACACAATCATGAACTACCCCCAATTGATTTTATTAAAAAAATTTAAATTACGAATATGTAAAAACACGACGCGAAAAACTAAACGCCTGCGCAAAGCTGGAATACGAGAAATATTTGAAGAAAGAGTGTAGAAATGATCCATAACTTGCAAAACATTTTTCGTTTCCACAAAAATAAAGCGAACACTATTAAATTGATGAAACAGTCCATGTCCAAAAACCCCGGAGGAACACTGAAAGAATTCTGTGTTTTAAATTAGCATATTTTGAACGAATTCGGAATGTCTAAGGTGGAAAAGAAACCAACCTTTCTATAAGGAAACAATTATAGAAAAAGAATTTTCTTACACTGTATTCATGTCTCCGCCAGCAATTTGTGACGACATCATTTAAAAGCAGCTAAGGAGAATGACGACACTATTTATTAGATGGCACATTCAACGAGCCAATGTGCCAAAATGCGGGTATAAACAATTATTGATTATTTAATATCGGAACCGAGATCATATAAGTTAATTGATTGGTTTTCACACACTTTTGAAACACAAATTATATGCTTTTTTACTGCAGACAAGTTGTTGCCCCAAAACATAGCAGAAATCTTCCAATCAGGGCTGCCAACTATCCTTAGTTATGAGGTGCCATATTGAGGATAAAAAAGTGCCAAAATGTGCCAAATAGAAAAATAAAAGTGCCAAAAAAGGTGTCATTCCTTTTAATCATTCACATTTAGCAATAAAATAAAGCTACATTTTCCAAACAAAAGTTCAATGATAAAATAAGATAAACCAGTTGAATAACCTTTATAAATTAGAAAATTTTAGTTGAGCAAAGGAAGTGCACGCCAAGGATTTCACAAAAATGTATTGAAATGTATTTTTTTTTACAAAAGTGCCATTTTGGCACTTTGTGCCAAATTGAAAAATTAAGTGCCATTTGAAGTAAAATAGGGACAAATGGCATGGTTTGAGCCAAGTTGGCATCCCTGCTTCCAATAACTTACAAATATAAAAAGATGAAATATCGAGGGCTTGAATTCATTAATACCCTCTATCTGCAATTTGCACAAAAACTAATTTCTGATTTTAGAAACCATCTGGGACTTATTACCTGTCGTTATATAAGGTAGCATTAATATCACTGATGACAGTTAAAGCTTAGGTGGATTTTTATATCAGAATCTCATCTTTGTGAAAAGTGTGCAGATAGAGGGTATTATTGAATATAAGCCCTCGATGTTTAAAATAAATAACAATTTTATTTCAACGTATACAAAAAATAAGTCTACCTGCGATACAGCACGGCGGGAGACGGGGAAGGGGGGGCCGGGGGGGCCGCGGCGTAGCGTGACGTGGTATGCGCGCCGGTCGCGCGGCGTGAGCGCGAGCGCGACGCGGGCCGCCGCGAAGCTAAGCAAATTTAATGTTTGAAAGAGAAATAATGTCAATGGATTTTATTTCGTTTTTAAAAAGGTAATAATGTCAATTGACTTTATTTCGCACCAGGGTGGGAAATAAAGTCAATTGACCTTATTTGCGTTGATCTTATTACTTGTCACCTAATTTTCATATAAAATATTTGAATGTGCTAGGAAACAAGCAGTACGTTATCGATTATTTTTAAAAAGTTTTAAGGATAATTTTATTTGCTAGAAATTGATTTTGTTTCCATTGCATAATTTGATTTGTTTTACGCTTCGCGGCATAGATTTTACCAAAATTTTTTAGTAAAATTTTCATTATTTCTTCCTATTTGTGAAGTTTGGTATATGTATTTCAAAACGGTATCCTTCTCTTTTGAATAAGTAAAAATCTTTTTGAGGAGTAGCTCTTACAAATCTCCAGTGGAATTCAAGCCCCTATTTGAAGCTAGATACTCGCACGGTGTGAACAACAACGTCTCGCTGTTGGAATTTCCAAATATCTTCGGTCGAAATGCCTGAAAAATTTGTCAACTTAATGCACAAGGAATATGTTTGCATCTGGGATATACATTTTTCTCAA